ATAATTTTCTCAAATTATAGGTTAAAAAAGAATCACTTCTCAGATTTTTGGGTAAGAACATGTATAATATTAATTACATCTTTTCCTCTGGTATGTTCTTGAAGAAACACAGGATCTCTGAATTAAATACACAAGATCCATAATAAGTTTTAACACCCATCAACTTTTATATTCAGGAGCCATTATTGGGAGGTGGGGAAGAGGAGGAAGAATATTTGCTGCCAACAGATTAACTGGAATTTCATTTAATTACTTGTTTAGAGAAATAATTTCAGGTTTGTAAGAATTTTCCTATACATATGCTAAACAAGGTTTGTAAATAACTATTTGTTTGGTGGTCTATAGCAACTAAGAACTCTTGTCAAGTGAAGAGAGAAGGAAAGTTTATAGTGGTGATTATAAAGGAATTGTATACTAACATAAACTGAGCAAGATCTAGATTAGTACCATATGTGAAATCTAGCACAATATAGAAACTGACTGATACCGTAATGTTAAAATACCATCTGAAGGTATCTTGAGAACATAAATAGGATGTGTATTTTCAGAATGGGTTGTTAGTTATAGTGGTCAACTTCATTCTTTACCACCTATAATTTCTGTTTTCCTTCTGTAAAATAAGCATAATTATATGATAAACTTGCATTCCAATATATAGAATAAAAATGGGACAAATCAGTAAAATATTATATAAGTTCAATCCTAAAATAATGCTTGTTAAGGAATAATTGTTAAGGAAAGCTAGTGAAATAGCTAGTGAATACTGGCAATAGCTGGTGAAATGCCAGGAAAACAGTTAAACCTTTAATCACTAATAAGCATATGCCACGTGTCAGGTCATTTCCCTTGAAATAGTACTTGAAAAGGTCACTTGTGGAGAAGCAACATGTTGGATTTAAACATGGGTTCATTATGTTCAAAATCATCTGAAAATGATCACTTCTTAGTCCAAAGAAGTATTTTTGTGAGTGGACATATAATATTTTCTTTAAAATTAGTTAATATCACTACAAAACATTATACTCATTAACAATTCTTTGGATAAATCTACACAAGCTAAATTTGATGGATTCATAATAGACAAAGTTCAAGAGGATACCTGCTACAAGATTTTTGTCTACATAAGGGATCTACAGAAAATAATCCAACAGAGTGCCCTGGATACTTTTCCTATATTGGATTTACAAAAGAGGCTTGTTAAAGCTTTGAAGAATATTGTGGAGATGAAATAAAAATGAAAACTTAATCAATTTTTAGGACATTATTTGAAAGGACTAAAAATCAAAAAATTTAAAAGTAAAAGGAAGAAATATAAAGTTGACTTATTTGATCAAGATTAAAATAGAAATATTGCTAGTTGTGATATTCCTTAATGGATTTTTACTAATCAGGATTTAAATGATGAGGTTTTAAGGATTTATTTATTAATAAGAGATGAGTTGTGGAAGAAGAGATCATTTGTTGCATTTTTTGAGAAAGTGATAAATTACTAAAATTGTTTATACTTGTGATAAAGGCAGAAAGTCAATTCATTTCCTTTTTTTACTATAATCTTTTCTATTCTTTCATTTTTTCCTTTTCTTCACTTTCCTTTTTTTCTTTGTATTCTCTTTTTTAGTTTATATTAATGTTTATCTTTTTAATTGTATGTTTTAATAAAATTACTACCGTATTTGCCGGCGTATAAGACGACTTTTTTGCCCCGAAAAACATGCCTCCAAGTGGGGGGGTCGTCTTATACGCCAGTATATCCACTGCCGGCTTTCGGATGCTTGTTGGACGCAGCGAAGGCGCCTCTGGCTTCCTGGATCCCCTGCGTCGCTTCCGCTTCATCCCACTCGCCTCGCTCCGCCCGAGGCTGCAGCCTTCCTGCTCTTCCCACGGCCCCTGGCACTCTGCCCTGCCGCTGCAGCCCCGGGGATTTCTGGAGGGCGTTTCCGGTGGTGATGGGGGGTCGTCTTATACGCCGGGTCGTCTTATACGCCGGCAAATACGGTATTTTAAAAAATCATTCACTGTTTGGAATCAGGTTTGCCCTTATTTGAAATAAGACCATAGATTTCACATTTTGATTAGTACAGGAGTTTCCAAACATTGCAACTTTAGGATTTGTGGTCTTCAACTCCCAGAATTCCTCAGTTGTCAAGTTTGGAGACCCCTGGATTAGTGGATAAAACTATTATCTTCCTCAATCTCCACAGCATCCTTGACCTTGAATAACTCTTCCTTGCCATGTGAAGGGATTTTTTTTATTGGTTTTTAAAAAAGTTTCTATGTAGTTTATCATTGCCATTTTTAATAAACTTACTATTAAAAGACATACTATTATCAAACATTTTATGATCACTTTCAAATCAGGATTTGGTTCATGAGGGCTTATTTCAGAATCTCAGGATGATCTGGCTGTAATTTCTATAATTTTTCTGGTGTCTTATTTCAGCTGATTGACAGTAAATAGCATCCAATATTTTCCTGTGTTCTGTGTGTGCATTGTGTGTTTGTGTTGGTGTTGTCTGACTTTATTTAATCTTAACTTTAAAAACATTAATTCTCACTGAACATGGTGGAACTTGCTTCAGAATGTAACACTTGTAAAAATTGATAATAACATTCTTATCAGAGTTAGAGTAGCCTATATAATTAATTGACTTTTTCAAAATGACTTGTTTCATTTAAACAAGAAAAAAAGTCCCTAGGTAAAAACTTTCTAGACTAAAACCCTTACATGTTGTAAACAGTTCGTGTGTCATTAATGCCAGCAGTTCACTTAAACTTCAGTGTTTAACAAATCAGGAATTAAATATAAATAAAGATTCTCAGTTGCATTTTTTAACTATTACCTTCTAGGAATAAGAACCTTGACATATTCTAAAGTGACATGTGCAGCCTAAAATGAAAAATAGAAATACCCAAAGTGAGTTATATTGTGAAATCTTATTTATGTTGTTTTGATGAGATAGCAGTTGACTACTTTTGCTAATATATTGATGTCCAAAAAGATTAATTTGTGGCAAGATAACAAGCTAAGGCATTAAATTGAAGGCCAAGGATGTACATAGGATACTAGTGGTTTGGTACTCATGCCTTTTCCTTATTTCTGCCCCCACTCCCAAATATTTATTTGGTCTCCTCCTTGTCAGCTTTATCTGTGGCTCAGTAATTAAAGCAAATCAGATTTCTTAACCATGATTTGAAAATATGTTTGAAATCCTTACCATGAGCATAATGGCTAAGTTAATCATGGAAAGATGGAAAGGGATAATACTTTAATTACTGTATAGTTAAGCTAGACAATTTTTAAACGAATAGAACATATTTTTCTTTCTCTAAAATAAATGGCTAAAGGTTTAAAATGCTATTGTTAGTTTTTTTTAAATAAACTTAAGCAAATGAAATGAATTGCAAATCATAATGTTTAATTTTAGAAAAGGTGGTAGAAAAGGTAGTTGTGCAACAGCTCCAGAAAATGCTGGAGGAAGTGGAGTATTTGGACCTTTTTCAGTTGGAAATCAGATCTGGTGATGGCCCTGAAATGGCTTTGATCGCAATTGTAAATAACATGTGGCAGGAGCAGGATGGAAGTGGTACATCCATCTTTGCTCTTCTTGACTTCTTGGCAGGTTTTGATAACATCAATAATGGTATCCTTCTGGATTGGCTTTTGGGATTGGGAATGAGTGACACTGTGTTGTGCTGGTTCTCTTCCTTCTTCCAAGGCAGTCGTGTTGATCGTAGGGACAGCTCCAGCCTGCAATCATTCCTTTTCAAGGTTCTGCAGGGTGGTACTTGCTCGGCTCCTATTTAACATCTCCATGAAGCCACTTTGTGAAGTCATTCAGAGGCATGCCAATTTCCACCTCTGACTGCCCATGTGATACAGTGGAAATTCTGTTTAGTGTCTGGAAACTATGGAGGTTTGGATGAGAAACAACAGGCTTCAACTCAACCCTAGCAAGACTAAGTGGTCTTGGATATTAGGGCACCCTGGTTCTAGGGACTTTTCATCTTTAATTTTGAAGGTGACTGTACTATTTCAAACATAATTGGTGTGCAATCTGGGGGATCTCCTGGACTTAGGGAACAGGCGGCAGCTGTAGCCAGGTCTTTGTACAATTTCATATTGTTTGCCATATGTGCCCATTCCTAGAGCAAGAGAGTCTACCCACAGTCACTCATGCTTCAGTCACCTCCCAAATAGATTACTGCATTTTATTGGGGAAGCCATTGAAGAACACCCAGAAGCTGTGTGGGATACAAAATGCAACAACATGGGCAATACTCCTTGATCAGCACATGCTACTTCTCTGCTCTGTGAGTTGTTAGTGTGCTTCTGGGTTCAATTGAAGGTGCTAATAGTTACCAATAAAGCCCTCCATGGCATGAAGCCAGATTATGTGAGGAACCACCTCTCCCTCTCCATTCTAATAGATCTGGCACATGAGGCATGCTCTGAGTCAGATCCAGTAGGGAATGCAATCTAGCTGAGGCTTCTGTCATGATGCCTTTTCTTTGGAACAACATCTCTCCCCAACTCCCGGCCCGAAAATTTGATTGCTTCTGACCCCGCTGGCCTTTTGTAAGGCCTTAAAGAAGTAGTTGTGTCACCAAGTATGGATCTATGGTAGAGCCCATTCAATGCTTACATTGATTTGCTGATGGCTTCTTTCTTTTCTTTTTTAACTCAGCTGCTGATTATGGATGCATTGTTTTTGTAATATCAGGACTTTCGTGGTGCTTTTAACTGTTGTTAGCTCCCAGAGTCATCAATTTGAAATGGACACTTATATAAATTGATTGATTGATTGAATGGGTGGATGGATAGATGGATGAAAGTTTACTTATCAGTATAAAAAGAATATAATAGGACAGGAAAAAAAATAAGTAAATGATGTTTTTGATTCATCCAGGTTTCCGGATTCTTGGAAATATATAAAATTATATTCAAGTTTACTAACAATCTACTGTATATTGTACATATAATTCTTAATTTTCCATTACAGAGCTGAAGGCAAGGTTTGGTCACCTAATACTGTAGAAGATGGAAAAGCACAAGCTTATCGTGTCAGTGTAGAACCTGAAACACAGGTATTTGATCTTTACATAATTTAAATCATTTTTTAAAATTTCATTAAAATAGGAAATAAATCTTCCTCAATACAAAACATAATATAGTTGAACATTAAATGCATACTTAGGACATCAGAAAAATATGTTGCTTTCTGGATCTGTTGTATATTTAAATATGCAAAATCTTTTGCATTTTGTACTTTATTTATGTCCACTGCCATTCTATGATCTATTTGAAATAACCTATAGAGATTCATAGCAAAGATTGACTTAAAAAGAGGTTGGTAAGCTTTAATTCTGTTGAGGCCTTGGTGAGGGAACACACAAGTAAGGAGGACTATTAGGTAGATCCAGTACTAAAGGAATTTAAATGATGGTTTCTTTTCTAGTTTTTTAAAAAAGATTGTTCATTTGCTTGGAATCGGAGCCTTTTTTTAGTATCCTTTAGATATATTTCCAGAGTATTTTTAGATTCAACTGTAATGTCTAAACGTCTGTTTGGATAGTGTGGTACGTTGATGTTTATAAAAAATTGATCTTTACATTTCATGCTGTCCATATATGGGCTAGGTAAGTGGTCACACTTTCACTAACCTTTCAGAGCAGCAGCCCATAGAGACTCTGCATAGAGTGGCAACAGGCTATAAAGTCTACTTGTTGTGGTGAAAGCCGTTTTGCCACCAATATCCTTAGCTCGCAGGAGAGATTTTCTAACAGTTTAAATACCATCTGTCAACTTCTTGGAATGGATTATATATACTTCTGATTTAGTTTGTGCAGTAGTTCATGATTGCCTATGGACTAATTCTAAAATGAAATGTTGAAATTCTGGAACATCTGTGAAGTGGTGATATGGTTTAGACAGTTAACATAATTGCTTCTATGTTTTTTTCTCACAGATCTTGATTTTTTAGTTGCTTAAAGCAGTAAATTACTGAGATATAACAGAAGAAAACTTGGAATGCATATAGTCAAACATGCTCTATGTTTTAGGATCTATATAATAGAACATGACAATGAAGAAGCTATTTCCTGCTACCATTGTATCAGCACAATACCAAAGCAATTGTAAAGGTGCTGTTATGCGCTAGACTTCAAAATAATAGGACAGACTGCAAAAGATTGCAAAAGTTGCTGATAAAAATAGCAAAGATTTACAAAATCCTAATACAGTACTTATTACTAGAGCCACTTTGGTGCAGGGGTTAAGAGATCATGTTAGAAACCAGGAGACTGGAAGTTCTAGTCCCACCTTGGGCATGAAGCCTTACACCAGTCACCTACTCTCAGTCCTAGAAAAGAGGCAATGGCAAAATGCTGCCTGCCTATATCACAAAACTTATTCCTGCCGTAGTTAGCAGTAGTTTCTACAATATCTGGTATAGATTCCAACCAATAGAAGTATTCCTCAGATTGCAAGAGCAGTTGAAAGAACCTTGACTAATTTGGAAGAAGCTAAACAAGATCCAGTTTGGTACTTGGATGGGAAAACAGGGAGTGGAATTGGAAAATTCCAAATTGTGGGAGCTCCATCACTTGAGACTTTCAAGAAGAGATTGTTCTCCCATCTGTCACTCACCCTAACAGCTTCCACAAGCAAAATCAATAGGGAAGCCAGCAGGAAATAGCATTCCCATTGCTTTTGTGCTCACCCATGGCCAATCTATTTATTTCTTTAAGTAAGCAAATATTGACAAAAGAAGACCCAATGGGTCATGGGTTGTCTAGTGCTTTTCTCAAATTTAGGAAATTTAGATTGTTTAGAAAGAAATCGCAACTACACTTGATGGGTGAGAAACAGCTCTCAGGTGATACTGACTCACCCCCTGGTGTCTAGAAATTATAGATTCCCAGATTGGGGTGAGCCACCAGGATGCCTAGTGTTGCAGAAAAGTGATTCTGAGAGAGCCCAATCAAGGAACTGTCAAGAAGAAAACAACACCTCTACTAACACGGACAGGGCAAGGCACTGTATATAAACAGAGAGCAAACCCAATCCCTTCTAGCACTGAAGATATTATATGATCTGGTAACAAAATGTCTGTAGGAAAACAATCACACTCAGAGAGCACCAAGGACTCCACCGTTCATCCCTGAGCTACCCTCTTCTATTGATTCTAATATTTATCTTGTAGTTACAATAATAATAATAATATGTATACATAAAGTGTTCTAACCATTTTAAGGTGGTAAATATTGGCATTATTACTATTTTGAAAATATGTAAAGTCTTATGGGAAAGGAGACTGAAACGCTCATCATTCCCCTAGAGTATTTCATAATCTTCAGGCCACTTAAGAAAAGAGATTATTACTATACATTCTCTTATATTTTTTCTCTTATAAACTTTTAGTCAAAACACCACCATATGGTGCTTATAGAAGAATGGGATATTTGCTTTCTTTTTACATTCTTTTTACTTAGGATTCCTTTTGTGATTTTTCTTCATTTATCTTGGCCCAAATCTATCTATTTCACTTACTCATTTCATTTCATTCATTATATTATAAAATCTAGACCATCAAATTTAACCCTCTGCTCAGTATGGGAAGTTGGAGTATCCCAAGTAGCCTCATTTACCAATTCGAGAGAAATCTATCATTTGTCTGAGTAAATTGGCTTCCCTGCTGAACTGCTTGAAATAGCTCCCTGTACTCATTTATTAGTGTTGCCATTACGCTGGTGAAATCCCATATTATTTATCCTGTCCACTAACAATGGCAACAAAATATACCTACAACATTATGCCTGTGAAAACCAGTTTGGTGCCATGGTTAAGGCATCAGGCTAATCACTAGGAGCCCATGATTCTAGCCCTGCCTTAGGCACAAAGACCTCTGTCTTTCAGCCCAAGAAGAAGGCAATGTCCAACCACTTCTGAAATCTTGACAAGGGAACTTCATGGACTAGTCCAGGCAATCAGCAGTAATCAAGACTGATTCGAAGGCAGCTAAAAAAAGGGAGAGCTTATCATATCTCCATTGCAAAAATCCAAGCAGCCAGAAGAGGGCAAGAAATACTGGAAATTCTAACTCTTTGCTGCCCACTAATGGTCATTTGGATACAGCCAGTATTTTATTCTGTTAGCCTGATAGTTTGACTGGTAGATAAAAAATGTATCCTTTCTGCAGCTTTGATTTGGTCTCACTCTGCCATAAAGAGAGCTGGTTATGCATTTGAAGCTAGTGATTTAACAAAGTAACAAAGGTTTTCGCTGGCTGGACACTTTTATTCTTTAGAACATTTATGGGACAATGTGAGCATGAGGGAGAGACTGAGAAAGCTAGAAACAGGAAATAGCAGACCTGGACAGTGAAGAGAAAAACTATGATAGGTTTTAGTTTGAGATAACTAAAACAATAGTGTCCTAGAAAACTAAGGAAGGGTCAGCAAGTTTTAAGAATCTATTCTATTATGAACTGTGTGTTTGAAAATCACAAGAATGGCAGGGTTTTTTTTACTTCCCGCCTCCAACCCTCCCCAACAACCACCACCCTCTAACATTGCATCTAAGCTTTGTTTCAAAGGATTAGGGAATATAAACCTAAACTGTTTAAAAAACTGCACTAAACTGATTGAATTTCAGTTGTTAAGCTTAATTCTTCCATTAAAAAGATAAAAATTAAGCAAAATTTGTGGTATAAATAGTAAATCTTATTGGAAGACAAGGCAGCATTTGGTGCATAAAACCCACAGTTGAATTTAATGGAATGCATTAAAAATGTGGAAAGAATTATTATGCTCTTGAGAAAAGAAAAAGATGAGAAAAAACACCCTGGCACAATTTTAGATACAGGAACTATAAGCTTGTCTATGGATGATTTAGTGGTGGAAAGATACAAAAACTTCGCAGCTACTGTACTGTTATTGAAATAAATCATGAATGGAATGAATTTGTACAATTTGTACAAATTATAGTTTTCCTTCCTTCCCTCCCTTCCATTCAGATCACAATACCATTTTAGACACAACTTATTCCAGGAGTTCAAATTGCTAGGGGGGAAAATGTCATTTAAAATCCTCCTAGATGTTATTGGTGTTGCTGTATCCAGTAACGATAAAACATATTAAATATGGTGCATGACTGGAATTCCAAGATACTACACTAATGTGAGTTACCTACATTACATGGAACTATTAACTAGAACATCTGAAGCTTATATCATTTCTTATATTAGTATCTCTATTTTATTTAATAATAATAATAACCTTTACTGTCATTGTACATATATACAATAAAACTGATTTTTGCTTCTGCTGATGCTATCCATAACAAAAGTACAGTACACCATGAATAATATAGAAAGTGGTGATTATACAAGTAATTAGGGAGAAACCAATCATATGTTTCCATGTATGCATGGAGTGATTGTAGTTGTATTTAGGAGTCTGACAGCCCATGGATAAAAGCTGTTTTTAAACCTGTTTATCCAGCTGGCTATGCTTCTGTGTCTTCTACCCGATGGTAAAAGTGAGAAAAGACATTGACCAGGATGGTGAATTGTCGCTAAGTATTTTCCTTTGCTGAAGCAACAAGACCTGGTGATGTTGTCCAGTGGTCTTAGGGGGCAACCAATGGTTTAAGGATTGTATCAATCCAATTGAAATCTGACAGAAATTGATAATTTCACTACTCAAAGTAAGCAATTACCTCTCCCCTTCCCCTCCCCCCCGACATATACCAATAGATAGGTAGCTTTCATTTAGTTTTAGAAAGAGAAATAGAGGTTCTTAAATGCCCAATGTTATATTCCCGATTTGCTAGTAAATTGTTGCCTGACATATTCCTGTTCTTAGTTTCATTTGTGCTTCACCTATGTGGTCAAAGCTCATGGGAAAAACAGTCATGGTTCTGTTAACCATCTCACTCTCTCATTTACACACTGTTACTTCCTGTAAATAAATCCCTTTGTCATTTTTAGCATGCTAGTAAAAATCTGCTTGTAACTAAGCAACAGTAGTTGGATAAATAAATAATTCTGAAAACAATGTAATTTGTGGTTCCTCTTCTGGGAATA